CCGAATGCACCGCACCAATCGGCCGCTCCTCTCCCCTCTCCCATCTGCCGTAACAGTGAGTGGACTGCCCGGACACGCAATGCGTCCAGCACATGCATTGATTTGTTTCCTTATTGGTGTGTTTATCACATGCGTGGTCGGTCAGGTTTTGTGGTGATTGAATCTGTCCACCCTAGACGGGCGTCTGCTCCAGTGATGCCACCGGATGAGCCGGTGGGTGAGCCGGGGTTTGGAAGAGGCAGAGAGACACACTCGGGTTCCTTTCTGTTTGTCCAGTCTTTCTCTCTCAGGAGTGATCGCTGCCGTCATTATATTTTGCGGATCGTTCTCTGCTGTTATGCGGCTGCCTGCTGTTTTCTCTCTCTCCCCCACCTGTCGCCAGTACGTCCCTCCTTCGAGTGTGCACCTCTCCCTGCGCACACAATGACCCCACCGCCCCACCCCAAACGGCACCACTCTACCCAAGAACAGGTGCGCTCACACACACATACACACGCACACACACCTGGATCATGTCTGTTTGTCTTTGTGTGTTGCTGTGTGTGCTGGCCGCAATCTCCTCGCCGTCGCCCACCCCACCCCACTCGCCCATCTCAATCAGTCGTCGTTGCGCCCCTGACCCTCCCCCGTCTATCCATGGCGCACGTGGTTGTGTTTTCTCAATACTGTGGATGGACGGGGTCACGGCCAGCTAAGCTGCCACCGCAGACACACACGCACATGGCGTAGTGAGACCGCACACCTTGTGTGTGGCAAACACACACAGACAAACGGGATGGATGGATGGATGTGACCCCCTCCCCCACACCGCTGTCTGGGCAATGGGAGTCGGTGACCACACCCACGCACCGGTAAGCGGGAATGGAGGGAGTCTGAGACACAGTGTATGGCCGCAGAGGGGGGCATGCGCAATACAAACCATTTCGACGTGTTGGCATGTGGTTCACTGTGTGTTGTGGTGCAGGCGGGGAATGCACAGAGGAGGGTGGGCATCGTTGCCTACATTTTATATCTGGTGCTCCCTTGCTTGATTGGTGCGTACTAGTGGTGAACATCAAAGTGTTCTGCAGAGACCTTGTCAGTCTGATTGACCGCCCAGCTCTCTAGTGAGGACGGGATGGGGGGCGAGCGACTGACGCAGCTGATGTGGAGCTGCTTGTTGTGGTGGTGCATGTCATTGGTCGGCTGCCAGCGGATGGACAGCGGGATGAGATAAACACAAGACTTTGAGTGATTGCGTCAAGAGAGAATTGAAAAACGGCACACACACGTCGGCTACCAATCCATCCATCGACTGCACACACAGTCTGCACTGATCCATCTGTCAACCCATCGCCAACTCAACTCGCCACCCCCACTACCCTCTCGGTCGGTCAACAGACAGCTACCGTTCCCCACGTCGGTCAGTCGGCTGACGACGCCTCGCAATGCAGACAGACAGATTGATGGTGTGGCGGCTGATGCGGACACACCAAACAAAGGAGAGGGAGGGGAGAGCAGACATGCACCAAGATTGCATCGATACCTTCTTCCCTCATGTGTGTCGTGTCATCCGTCCGACCTCCGTCAGATGGCCCAGATGGCCGGCAGCAGCTCCAGGGAGGGGCCGTCCATCTTGTTGCGGGCCTTGGCCACTGCTCGCGGGAAGGCAGCAGGGCCCTCGCCGCCCCGGGGTAACTCGGTGGTGCGGAGGGAGATGGATGCGAACCCATCATACCACTTGATCATCCTGATTGATGCCACGAAGTCGTCGCCCTCCTCGTCGCCATGCAGTACGACGAGTCGGTATAAGGTGCCGATGGTGCTGTAGTCGATGGTGCGGCGGTCCCACACGGGCGGCGGCTGGGCCGTCAGGGCATCGATGCGACCACACTCAGCAGAGGGCGGATGCCCGTTGTGAAAACGGTTCGACGACACAGGACTCGACGGATTCCCTGTCATCCTGAAAGAGCAAGGAGCGAAAAGGCAGACAACACAACACATTGGTGTGTCGTGTTCTCTCATTTGTGTCGCTGCGCACCTGTCGACGATTAGTCCCCTGAAGCTGCTGTAGTCGTAACCACCGCCTGCAGACACACAGACACACAGCGGCAGACACCATCCAGGTCAAGTTGCCTCCTCTGTGGTGCTTTGACCTCCCCTCTCTCACGTCGGCACGGGGGATCGGCCGCATCAAAGCGATTTCGGTACTCAGCCGGCACCGTCTGGTCGGTGTGCACCGTCACCACATACTCGCCCATCATCTCCCGCCTCAGCCGCATGTTGTCACCCAGTCGGTGGCTGAAGAGGGCGTACTGGCGGATGGCCTCTGGGCGGCTGTCGATGACGGCTTTGCTGCCCACGTGCTGCAGGTCGTCACCCGTCAGCTCGACGGGCAGCTGCTGCACTCGTCCGAGAGGAAGGCAGCTCTTGGCCAGCCGCAGCAGCGGCATGTTGCCCCGCCAGTCGCCGCCCGTCACCATCAGGTAGTGCAGGCGGATCAGTCGGAATGGACGACGGACGCTGGTCGACTGGCGCAGCGGGGTGAAGCCGATGACGCCACTGAGTCCGTTGCGCCGGATGATGCTGTCGATGTCGGCGACCAGGGCGGCCTCGACTGTGCTGCTGACCGCCTCGGATGTGCGGCAGAGGGCGATCGTGTGCTGTGGGGTGAGGGTGGCGGGATCGTCACGGTGGCTGCTGATGAGGGGCAGCAGGGTGCCGCCCATGACATCAGTGGGCAGGTCAGGCAGGTCGGGCTGGGCAGCACCAGACGACTCTACGGGCGCGTCAACACGGCGGCGCTTCGCATCGACCTCAACCTGCACACACATCACACCACACATTGGCCGTCATGGCAATGGGGACTAGGTGCAGCAGCCCTACCTTCTTGTTTGTGCTAGTGGTCTCTGTGGTTTTCTCAGCGACGGGATTGGCCTCGTCATCGTCTGGCGTGACCAGCGCGAAGGTCTTGGAATGGCCCTCCAGCTGAATCACACAAACACAGGCAGAAGAAGCCACGGCCATTCATCAGTCGACAGACGATGGCTGCGTGGACCTCTCTGTGGAAACGTACCAGTGCTACTCCGTTCAGTCGGCCGAGTGCTCTACAGAACTCTAAAGTGGCGCTCTCGATCATCGCCAGCCGACTCTCAGCAACAGAGCCCTGCACACAGACCACAGACCACTCGTTTATTGTGCAACGGACGTGTTGACTCACCGACCTTCGCAGCG